CCCATACCTTTGTTGTTTTGATTTACTTTTACTGCTCTCATCAACTTAATTTCCAGCTGCAAACAGGCAGCTGTTTTCAGTAAAAAAGCTCAAATAAACACACTGTACACTACCTCCCAGGCACCAAATGGTAGACAGACAAAGTTAGCGGTTTGCTGGTGAACACAGTGGAGCATTTAGTAGCTTTGGAGACAGATTTGTTTCCAGGAGTCGCTGGAAAGCAAAACAGATACTGGACTTATATTTATAAAGTCACCAGAAACCCAAACCCAAATTAATATTTATGTAGCTCTGTGTTTGCTGGATGTGTAAATTAGTGTTGTAGTCAAGAACACCCCAACCAAGACCAGAGTGTATCAAGACCGAGACAAGACCAAGATTTTGAAAGGTCGAGACCAAGTCAAGCCCAAGACCAGTGCCCCACACTACATGATCATGGGCGCTTCTCAAATTGATCTGAAAGATCCACATTCCCATAAAACACAGACATACAAACAAAAGCTGAAATCAACTTAATATCTTTATTCAACACTCCTTTTCTATTTTTATGGGAGATACAAGAGCTCACCGAACCACCATGTATTAACTAGAATATAGCTATACTGGGCTAACAGGTGAATCAAAGCTAACAAGAGAGTGTGGGGAATGTCCTGAGAAAAAGTCTAATCAGTTACAAGTGAAAACACCCCTAATCAATATGTGTAATGTGAAAGAAGAAGAAGAAGAAGAAGAAGAAGAAGAATGTGCTCTAAACATCTCTGTAAAGCAATAAAGCTTAAAAAACCACTACACACTGCCTGTCCAACAACAACGACTAATAAATTAATATCTATATAGTCGAACATCTAGCAAACTAAAGAACCAGACATTTTTCTCAAGAATTAGTGGAGACTAAGTTAGAGCTAAACAGAGAGTGAATGTTGCACTTACATTTCTCAACATAACTCGACGAATGCTTAAATGTCACTCAATGCCTGATAAATGTGTAATTAGCCATTAATTACACATAAGCCATAAAACTTTATTAGTTATGTGATAGGACTGTTTCTATCAGATTATTTGAGTTTATCTGCCTCACAATGGCCAAAACGTTTTTAATGTAACTTTAACCTTCTATTTACCTTCTATTCTATATCCTAGATCTGCTAAATCCTGATTTAAAAATTAATAAATTTAGCCATAACCTTACCTGGATCAGGGTTAGGACTTTACATTAGCATAGTCTGTCGAAACACGATGAATTTGTGATGATCATGAGCTGATTAACTGTTTCTACAGATTCTATTCTAAATGAAATACATGTAATAGCGTATAACCTGCCTCAGATGTAAATGTTTTGGGAGCTTAAAATAAGATGCACACCAGCAACAAGATCATCTTACTTCATAAAAATGTCTCTGATTATGTTACTTTCAGGGCTTGGTATAGGCTGGTTCATGTTTCCTTTCCTATTTACAAACTGCTTTATCATGCAGCTCTGTTAAGGCTCACAGGGCTGCAAAGCATTTCCTCGGGCTCACAGTCAATAACATGCTTTAAATCACTCTTCAGAAGTGAATACAAATGTGAGGCATTTCCATGATAATTGCTTTTTATTAGTTTCTCCTTGTTGTCTCGTCTAAATCTTAGTTATCCTCTTTTGTTTTATTCCTGTCATACTGCATGACCCCAGTTGTTTACTTGACTGATTTATGTATTTTTTCATCCCTCCTTTGTTTTAAAATGTTGAATAAATCACAAATTATACAATTATAAACAAGACAAAAAGATCCTCTTCAAATGGCAGATTTTTAAAATTTTTTGCTTATTTGAAAGAAAACATTTGAGGACTAAACAATCACGACTGTGTGTGTTTTCCCGACAGGCATCAATGGCACCCGGATCTGCCCATACAGCCTGCAGGCCGACATGAATGATGAAAGGCTGGTGCCCAGACTAAGGTACGTCACATTATGTCACATCTTGGCACTCATGTCTACAGTGGCACCCTTTGACAGGAAGTGAATAGGAACAAAATAATTAGCTCCGTCATTGTGATGACATTAAGTTAATTACCTGTTCTGTTGCATCAGGTACCTGCGCCTGGACGGAAATCACCTGAGCCCCCCCATCCCTCTGGATGTCATCATGTGCTTCAGACATCTCCACTCTATTGTCATTTAGGAGAATCGTGCCTAAAGGCCTGGGAACATGCACACACACACACACACACACACACACACACACACACACACACACACACACACACATACACACAGACTCACTGTGTACAAACTCAATTTAAGACAAAACATGATGCGTGAAGCACAAGGTATATCCAACAGTGTATAATGTGGAACTGCGTTAGTGAAAGAGGGACTTCAAATGAATGAAAACAAACTGTAAAGCTTTGATAGTTTAAGCTAGTTAAGCTAAGTTTCACCGTTGCCAGAGTCAAGAGAATCAGAACATTGAACTACGAATCTACAAAGAATGGATATACCGACGTTTAGGGTTAGGTGTTTGTAGGAGTTACAGTTTATCGGTCATTTTTATTCAATTACAATGCAAAAATTAGTAAAGCCTGAAAATACAGGTACATTGACAGACATGCTACACTGGAGGGTAGTTATGTTCACCAGCAGATGTGACCAGAGTAGAGCTGGACAACAAACAGACCTGCAGTGGATGTCAGAAGAGCAAATTTAAAACATAACTACCATGTAGTTGGAACTGTCCCAAATGCGCCTGTGATTTTCAAGGTACTCCATGTAAAAATGTCATTTTATTCTTTTTATTCTTATTCTTCTGTATATTATTCTTCTGTATAAAGAAGCTTTGTACAAATAATGGACAATAAAACTTTTTTCTTTGATCATTTGATCATGTTTGATGTTTATTTAATTGAAATACAAATTTGATTTTTGACATTTCTTCACCACCCTCCCTTCTAGTGCATGATCCACTGGTAACACTGCATCAGAGGACACCAATTACAACAGGATATTCCTTACAGGTACCCTGTGGAGTTTTTGGCCACTGGTAGTGCTAAGGAGCAATGTCTTCAGTAGTGGGTCACCCGTTTGTTTGTAGTCTGTACCCGAATAAAGACACACATGCACGAACAGGACGAGATGCATATTCCTGTTGCTAGTTTTCATGCTGTTCCACTGAAATACCTCTGACAATATTAAGACGTAACATTATTACATATAGCTTAAGTCCGGTCTCTCCAGAGAGGCCTACTCTGGCGTCCTCCCACATCCCAAAGACATGCAGGTTAGGTTAACTGTCAAAATTCAAGTCCTTAGGTGTAATTGGTTGCCTTCCTCCATGTGCCAGCCCTGTGATTGACTGGTGACCTGTCCAGGGTGTAGGCCTACCTCGCCCCCCGCAACTCTCTTAGGATAAGCAGTTATAGATAATAGATGGATGAATGAAGCTTAATTCAATGTATTGTTATGCTGTACTGTACCATAAGGTGTTTCTGTTATTTTGTCAACTGCTGAGATACAGGATTTTTCTGTTACTTCTGAAACATTAAAGATGTGGCTTGTGTAAAAGCGACTGTAACTCAATCTCAGAAAAGTGTAACATATACTTTGTATAAAAGTACTAAACCTGTATTGTATGAACAGGTATGAATATGTATGTATATCTTATGCTGAAGCTGTGCCACAGAGTCAGAGACTTGTGATTTGGATCATTAGATGTCTCTTCATGTTCAAAAAGCTTTGTGATGACCTCTAGTGGTTGTAAAGGAGCACTAAGCATTCCTGAGCTAGGGAGTGCTGTCAGCTATTTTTTCTACAGACACCAGGCCACCTCTTGGAGGAAAATTTGGCACTTTCCTATAGTTCCTAGATCCTATTGTTGACTTGAATACTGGTTATTCCTGTTTCCTTTGGACTTCCCTGCTCGTGATTCTTTCCACTGCAAGTACACTTTCAGAAATAATCACCCTGGCCAGGTAAGCAGGTCCTGTAGGTATTTCCGATCAGGCCTTGTCAGACAGAAGTGACGTCAATGCCAATGAGTGTGCTCCTAGAGGAAAATGAATAGCGGTATGTAGTAAGCAAAAACTAAGCAAAGTAAGTAAACATGTGAAATTTGTCACAAATTGCTATTGGTGCAAGACAACTATTACACTAGACAACTTTTACACTAAAACATTTTAAAAGATCAGTAGCAGTGTCAGTAGGAGTACTTTTAAACGGGAAACACACCGCTGAATAAATTTAAGCTGCAGAGTAATGATGAGATACTAATGAATGACGTCTTTAATAATAACAGCACATCACTGACAGCTAAGTTGTTTCCCTACAATGACCACATATCAAAGAGGAAGAAATATTTAATCAGTCTCTTTCTTCCAATCAGGTATTGAGACATCAGCAGGCAATTCCTCTAATTGTAACATACTTCCTCCTCCTGTAAACCAATTTGTGTGCATGTACATGTGCAGGTGTTTGCAACACCTGGAGAAAAAAACCCTTACTCCACTATAAGAGGAGACAGCATGGAGACAGAGAGACACATCTTTCCAGGGACTCTTCCTCTGAGTAACCAACACACAGGTGAGTCTATACACAGGTGGTGCTGGTCAGGGTCATGGTGGTGGGTGGTGGTACCTGAACATTACAGGGGCCATTTGCTTGCCCATTGGATGGACTCAACACAGGACAAGAAAGTCAACTAGGATGGGAGAATTAATTCAAATGCCATGCATCGTTTATGTATATTTCATATGCTTTAAATACAAACTGAATGGTTACAGAAATGCTAAGAAATCACAAATATGAAAAATGTTTTATTAATCAATTAATTGTTTGTGTCAATTATTAAGCAACATGTCAACAATTTGCCGGTTCCAGCTTATGAAATGTGCTGCTCTGAGCCTATCTTTAGTTGAGCCCTTACCTCCACCTAATACCTACCTAATAATTTGATTCTCAGTGATTTATCTGGCCAGATCTTAACAAACAACATATTTCTGTTAGCTTTCCCACCAGATAACCACAATGATGTTAAAGATGCTGCTCGGCTGTTCTCTCTTCCTGCTCCTTTTGAGTCTGTGTGAACTCGTGGAGAGCCGAACTCTGCATCTGGACAGCTGCTCTGTCAATGTTCACACGCACGAACTGCGCAAATATTACTCTGCCATACGACCAAATGCGGTGAGTTTCCTGCAGGCACACCCTAAAAACCGCTAACTCGGAAAGAGTCATAGTAATTAAAAATGATTGTTACTTACTTATGTGTGGTCTTTGCATCACAGATAGCAGGAGACATTGAGATCGGAGTGAAATTTCTGGACAAATCATTGATGAAGGATGTTCAGGTGAGTCTTTGCGTTGTTTTTACAATGTAGTGCTGTTTTTTCCTTTCTATCCCAATTTTCTGTTTAAAATTTTGACTGTTTCCCTTGCCCTAAGCCATGGAGTTCTCAAACCTATATAAATAGTGTAGGAGTATGCAACATGAGTGTGTGAGAGCTGATGTTATCTGACCTTCATGTGTCTGTATCAGGAGGGGCAGACATGTTGTTTCCTGCGTCTCGTGCTGCGTTTCTACGTGGAAAGAGTGTTCAGCAACTACGCCTGCTCTCAGCCACAGCAGCAACGCTCCTCCAGCGCTCTTGCCAACGCTTTTGTCAGCATCAGGAGAGATATACACAAATGTGTGAGTTAGCTGTTCAGCAAAAAAATGTGCTTTCATTAAAAACAACAATACGTCGTATTAATAATTGTGCTTTGTTCTGTTCAGCACTGCCACTGTGGAGAGGAAACACAGAGAATAGTTGACTCCCTGCATGCTGAGTTTATCAAGGTATGCAGCCTTAACATCTCTTCATGTCCCACATTCTCACAGTGGACTGAAGAGGGTGCTGGAGTAAAGTACTTTGCCAAATTAAATCTTAAATCAAACAGAAAACTGTTTCTATCCAGCCATGCTCATCATTAAACCCATTGTTCTCTCTTTCTCCATTTCTTTCCCCTTCACTCTGAGCAGCTGGACATAAACCCGGCGGCACAGAAGGCCGTGGGAGAACTGGACACGGTGCTGGAGTGGCTGGAGGGACTCGGCCAGAAAACACACACATGATGAGACAGACGCTCAGCAAAATTAAACGCTGCGATCCTAAAGTGCCCCCAAGCTAACACAAAAGATTGCAACTCTTGATATGACATTACTTGTAAGCAGAGTGAAGGTTAGAAATGTGCTTACTTCACTTCTGTGCCACTGTGCATTTCTCTTTTTTGTATTTAATTAACTTAATGTGTGTGTTATCCACAAACCTGTGGACTGGATGTTTTCATGCAATATTTATAACAGATTAAGATATAATCTTTTATAATAGACGTAACTGTTTAAGTATTTATATTTATCAAAAATAGAAAGTAAGGTATTGTATGTGCCCTTATATTGTGATGTTATTATGCAAACTAAAGAAATTATTTAATTTAAAGTTGTAATTGTAACAATGGTTACACTTTCAACATCAATAAAAAAAATATTGTTACCTACTAACTTTGAGTGCTTCCTTTCAACACAAAGATATGATGTCTGCTCTGCATGACCATCTTGTGGTGATCAATAAAAACACAATGTGTTAAGCCAACCCAATTTACAGGATGCAGCTCATCTCAACATCGTCATCATTAAGTGACAGCGGCAGGAGCTTGCTGGTTGGTCACACTTCCTGAACTAAGCTCAACTAAGTTCAACAAAGACAGGCACAATGAACATTAACTTGTTTATATGAAGCCTTCACTGGATCATCTCGTCCTCTAAGTCACAAGTCAGTGACCTAAAACCTAATCAATTTAAGTAAATGTACTAATACAAAAATGTCAAAATACTCCATAAGAAGTAAAAGCATTGCATTAAATATTCAAGTAGTATCAGCAATATTTAGTTGAAGTATCAAAAGTAAAAGTATTCATTAGCAGAAAAATTGCTCCTGTGAGTGATAAATCATTACATCATTTTATTGTTAATACTGATGCAATGATGTGTAAATACTTTTTACTCTTGTAGTTGGTAGAGGTCGAGCTAGTTTATCTACTTCAAATACAGATAGGTAGTTTACTCAAGTGGTCCTCAACCTAGGGGTTGAGACCAAGTGGTCACATGAGATGATTGAAGGGGCAGGAAAGAATAAAAAACTACGTAAAATTTATTATTAAGATTTTCTCCAGTCTTAAGTTATACCATCTGAGAAGTCTAGAGGGGAAATGTCTCTTTGGTGGAGCTGCTAATAACTGATAGACTCAACTGAAACATCACAAGTGGCCATGAAAATACAACACATTGGTAAAGATTTGTGTCCCTACCTTTTTGGCTTGTGACCCCTTTGAACATGTTGCTGCTGTCTCCCGGTTATGCCGCTTTGCTCTATACAACATAAGAAAAATCAGGCCCTACCTTACTCAGTACACCACCCAGCTTCTGGTACAGACCAAGGTTATCTCTCGCCTCATCTATTGCAATGCCCTCCTAGTGGGTCTTCCAGCTTGTGCAGTGAAACCCTTAGAAGTGGTCCAGAACGCTGCAGTACATTTGGTTTTCGATCAACCCAACGAACGCCGCCTTGCTCTGCTATCCCTTCACATTAAGCAATCTCAGTCCCAGCTATTCTCATCTGTGACACCACAATGGTGGAACAAGCTACCACATGCCATTAGAGCAGGGGCGTCCCTCTCTAACTTCAAGAAACCTCATCCCTGCCAAGAACACTTCCTCTTATAACACCTCTAACCCCTAACCTCTAACATGCACTTCTTGTGCTCTTCCTCTAATATCTCCTTACAACTTGCTGGTCTGTTGCACTATTAGCTCTTATTGCTTCCTCTAGGTATTTATCACATTGATGCCATAGGCGTTATCAACATTTATTTATTGCTGCTCTTACTGGTATCTATTGTCACTTTTAGATATCTTACCATATTGATGCTTGTATGTTGTTCCATAAATGTACGTTGCTTTGGATAAAAGCACCTGCCAAATGAGTAAATGTAGGTACAAGAAATTGTATGACACAATGACTCAAAATCTTTCACATGCACATAAAAAAAGTCACAACTGAAAGCCTAGCAGACTAGGCAGAAGCATCTAAACTGCGACCACACGAAATCAAGAAATCACACAGCTAAATGCAGAAAGCAGACATGCATGCTCACACACACAGTCAGTGCTAAAGTAAGAAGGGCTTCCCATAAACTTACTGCTGATTCATGTTAATTTCACTTATGAACTTTCATGTGTATAAATAAAATGTGTGCATTTATTTAAATACACATGGTGTGTATTTTGCTTGAAAGGCTCAAAAACATGATATTGCATTTTTATGTTGATATGATGAAAATCTAGAACAAGTCAGCCTATTTAAATCCAATGTTTTCGTTCTTAGGTTTTAAACCACTTACAAATTACAGGAAATATTCTCTATGTGCTAGCACAATAACCTCCTATTCTGCATTTTGTTGCAGTTCGATTTGTCAGGTGTTACCTGGATTTCACAATTTACAAAATTCTCTGGGAACAAATTGGACAACAATCCCAGGCTGTCACCATCTCCCTTCCACTTCAGTTTGTGTGCCATCTGGACAAAAATCTAGGGAGTCTAGACAGGTAAAATATGCACTGAACTATGTAAGATTTAAATGCCTAATTGAAAACAAATCAAACAAAGAAATAAAGTGAAATACAACACACATTGTTATGTTACAGTTGGTCTATGTTGTTTGCCTGTCTATGTTGTTTGTATTACAAGGTTTAACTGCTGTCCTCTTGGCCAGGTCAAGAGACCCTGTGCGGTGATGGACTAATTTCTGTTCATCTGATTCTATTCTTTGCATTCCTTTTGTTTTGGCTGCTTGTTTTGACTAATATTAATAGCTAATTCTAATTATATATAAGCAAAACTGCATCAGAAGACTATTTATGGTGTAATGTATTAGTAAACATATAACTCACACTAAATTGTCCCGACCTTTAAAATTCAGACTTGACAAAAGACTATTTCAAATGCATGTTGACTAAAATCTCTGAATCTTAGGATATTTGTTCTAGGTAACATAAACACCTAGGTAAGATTTAAAATGCCATAGTAAAAGAAATAAAGTGAAATAAATACACATTGTTATACAGTCACCTAAAGGATTATTAGGAACACCTGTTCAATTTCTCATTAATGCAATTATCTAATCAACCAATCACATGGCAGTTGCTTCAATGCATTTAGGGGTGTGGTCCTGGTCAAGACAATCTCCTGAACTCCAAACTGAATGTCAGAATGGGAAAGAAAGGTGATTTAAGCAATTTTGAGCGTGGCATGGTTGTTGGTGACAGACGGGCCGGTCTGAGTATTTCACAATCTGCTCAGTTACTGGGATTTTCACGCACAACCATTTCTAGGGTTTACAAAGAATGGTGTGAAAAGGGAAAAACATCCAGTATGCGGCAGTCCTGTGGGCGAAAATGCCTTTTTGATGCTAGAGGTCAGAGGAGAATGGGCCCACTGATTCAAGCTGATAGAAGAGCAACTTTGACTGAAATAACCACTCGTTAGAACCGAGGTATGCAGCAAAGCATTTGTGAAGCCACAACACGCACAACCTTGAGGCGGATGGGCTACAACAGCAGAAGACCCCACCGGGTACCACTCATCTCCACTACAAATAGGAAAAAGAGGCTACAATTTGCAAGAGCTCACCAAAATTGGACAGTTGAAGACTGGAAAAATGTTGCCTGGTCTGATGAGTCTCGATTTCTGTTGAGACATTCAGATGGTAGAGTCAGAATTTGGCGTAAACAGAATGAGAACATGGATCCATCGTGCCTTGTTACCACTGTGCAGGCTGCTGGTGGTGGTGTAATGGTGTGGGGGATGTTTTCTTGCCACACTTTAGGCCCCTTAGTGCCAATTGGGCATCGTTTAAATGCCACGGCCTACCTGAGCACTGTTTCTGACCATGTCCCTCCCTTTATGGCCACCATGTACCCATCCTCTGATGGCTACTTCCAGCAGGATAATGCACCATGTCACAAAGCTCGAATCATTTCAAATGGTTTCTTGAACATGACAATGAGTTCACTGTACTAAAATGGCCCCCACAGTCACCAGATCTCAACCCAATAGAGCATCTTTGGGATGTGATGGAACGGGAGCTTCGTGCCCTGGATGTGCATCCCACAAATCTCCATCAACTGCAAGATGCTATCCTATCAATATGGGCCAACATTTCTAAAGAATGCTTTCAGCACCTTGTTGAATCAATGCCACGTAGAATTAAGGCAGTTCTGAAGGCGAAAGGGGGTCAAACACAGTATTAGTCTGGTGTTCCTAATAATCCTTTAGGTGAGTGTATGTGTTTCCACATTATGTATGCATTGCATGTAAAGTGAAAAGTTTGTTACAAGGACAATATATATCTTATTGTCTTTAATAATTGGATTCATTGTTTTTTATTGTAGCGTGAGTTTTCCATGACACATTAATAATATCAAATCGGGTCAAACTTTGGTGGAAGTGAAGATGTATATTGCATTTCAGTGTTGTCCAGCAGAGGGCATAATAGTGTGAGCATTTTCTTTTTTGAAATAGAAATGCAAAGGCCATGCCAAACAGAAAAAAAATCAACTGTCCAAGTGTGCCTTGGCTAGTTTCCTGCAGGCTTGCCTGCCATGGTCATTCCCAATTCCCCAAATCAATTATTTCTGTTAAATACAAAAAGCCCAACAACTGTTGTTTTAACATATTTATTTTTTGTTTTATTATGACACAGCAAATGCATACATAAAATAGAATACAAAATACAATGTATAGTGCATCTCCCGTGTTTCCCACAGAATGACAGTGTAACTGTGGCGTGGCTGGGGGGGCGGGGGATGGTGTGTCCATGCCTGCAGTTGATATTGACGAGCGGCTATGTACAGCATGCTAACCTCAACAACCCAGCTGTATTCTAACGTTAGCATAGCTATCCTTATTAGCTAGGCTAATTACATGCTTATTAATAACTTTTTTTAAGATGGGTCTCCCCTGTGTTGGACAGATTGTGCAGCGGTGTTAATGAGAGCAAGAGAGAGAGGGACAAGAATGAGGATGCGCTGCGCTGCGCTACAGCGCTCTGCAATCAAATACGATTTTAAATAGGCCTAGAAAAAATTGGACATCAATATGTTGCGATCAGCATTGACAGTGATCTCACTACATTTCTTAGTTTGAGTTATTTTGCTTTTTGGCCTTTTAAGAACAAACTCAAAAATTAAGCCTGTAATTTGAGTATTGGTGTTTCTTGTGTGTCTGGGTTGTCCTCACTGTATAATGCCTTTTTTAAATTTATTTAATTGTGGGAAAATCACACTGTGTCATCTTTTGGTATGACACAAGCTTCATCCAGGA